AATTTAGTCGGATTTTGTTAACAAATTTTATCTGATTTTGGTAACTTATTTTGATAACAAATCTAGAATTTGCTTAACAAATTTTGTCTGATTGTGACAACAAATCTCCGATTGTGATAACAAATTATGGATTTTGATAACAAATCTTTTAAAATAACGTATTTTTTTGTAACACACTTCATAGTTATTTACGCACAATATATTGCCAATAATCATTGGGATTTCTTTCAGTAACAACTTTCACAATTTTTCGAATTGTTTGGAGTTAAATATTGTAGAAAAATCTCGAGATTTGATAAATGATACATATCAAAATACAAGTATTATTTTTCAATCAATCCAAAAAGTCTTACCAAATTAATTTTAACAACTCAATTACTTTTGGTAAACATTATGTCACATTGATATGAAACATAATCTTCATTAATCGACAAAATTCGAGACACATGTAACACTTTCCACATTTTTTTGTTTTTGTTCTTTTTTTATTTTATTTATCAAAGTGGATAAACATATCTTTTTGAAGTCTATCATAATCACATATTTAGGAAAATAAATCATACTCAACTTAAAAACCTAACGTAAATCAATTTTTAAATTCCCGTGCAAGGTATATGTCACATACATAAATGTCTATATAACCATCAGGCCAAACCAACATTCTCAAGTGGAAGAGTGAATTTCCCATGTTTTGTTTTGACTTTAGGAACTCTCTAACTTTAATAGATGTTCATAATGTTGATGAAGGCATGCTGAGTACGCTATAATTTTTTGTTTATTTCTTATTTTTATTACTTTTTAAGTTAAAATCTTTAATAAACTATATTATACATTATACATTTCAATATGATGCATTGTCTTATATTTTTGTAGATGTTATTGGATTGATTGTTTGTATACAACCTATACAAATGAAGGTTATCGAGGGAGTTCCTACCCAAATGATTGTATTCTCTATTATGGATTTAGAGTAATAATCTTTAGCATTACATACTCATATTTTATACTCTAATGTTTTTTTATATGATTTTTTTCTATTATATTTCGATTTTAATGTTTTACGTATGTAATATCTTAAAAAAGATTAATATATCAATGTTTAGAACATAGTTTTAAACCCATCCCGGTAATCGAACCGGGCAGGTCTTCAAATCACCGGGTCACTGGTTCAACCGTCGGGTCACCGGGTCAATTGCTGAACCGGATAATTGAACTTTTAAATTTTTTAAATTATATATAGAGTATTTTTGTCATATAAATATACATAAAAAAGTAACAAAATAAAATGTTTTGTGGATAAAATTTGTACATGAAAGTGTTAATGATATGTATCTCATGATAAATATTTACCATATAAACATACTTACATAGTTTTATATTTAAAAACAAATATATATATATATATATATATAGGGTTGGGTTCACATGAGAATTGTTCTCAATGAAAGTAATGAGAATACATAAGAGCCATCGGATTAAACGATCTAATGGATACAAAAAATACATCATTTATTTATTCATTAAGAGTATTTTAGACATTTAGATTATAAAATGTAGGTTAATGCCAACTAACATTCTCTACACCCAATGAATTAATGCCACGTGGCGCTGACACATCACATAACCCACTCACCCTTTCTCTCTCTCACACACGCACCACACACACTCAGTACACACGCGTAACACACACAATAGCACACAGTCCAAAGTTACACGGCCAATCGCCGAACGTTGGCCCATCTCCAGCTTCGCCGCCACCATCTTTCCCTAACCGCCGCAGTTCCTGTCACTGGCCGACTCAGTCACCGGAGATTGAGGTCGGACGCCGCAGAGACGCCGGACGCCGTCATATTCCTGTCCTTCCTGCCTTCCAGCGCCGTCGATCGTGGCTGCAACTTGCCGGCTTCATTTGCTGCCTATTTCAGATGATCGAGAATCCTCCCGACCAGTTGACGCCGCGCGTTTCTCCGCTCTCCGGCCGCCCGCTCAACTCCGACGCCGATAAGGTCGCCTTCTCCGGCGACACTCTACAGCGGTACGCTTTCTCGGACGGTCGTCTCACGGCGGCGGCAGGACTCGCCGAAAATCTGATATTGGGTTTGGCACATTATTGAAAATTTGATACTTTATAGGGGTTTGATCGCAAATACAAGATATATTATGAAAAGTGTATAAAAAGTATTATTTTTATATATTTCTTTTCTACATATATGTATATTGTACTTTTGTAACCAAAAAAATAATATAAAATGTATAAAAGATATTTAAATAATAAATATACTTTTATATTAATAATAAATATAAATTATTTCAATTATTTTTACAATTATTTAGATTAATTCAATGTACAATTTAATTTAATAATTATAGTTTTAAAATACATAATTTATATGTTATTATCATATAAAGTAGTAATGCACTTTATATATCAGCACGATGCACTTTATAAATGAAACGTTGCACTGTATAAAACAAGCCGTTGCACTTTATCGAAAGACTCCACAATTAACGTCAATAGCTCCGTCAAAAATACCACAAAACATAAAATATACATACATATCTACATAATAGTTTTAAAATATTATTTTTATATATTTCTTTTCTACATATATGTATATTATATTTTTGTAGCCAAAAAAATTATATAAAATGTATAAAAACTATTTAAATAATAAATATACTGTTTATAATAATAAATAATAAATTATTTAAATTATTTAGACAATTACTTAGATTATGTCAATGCACAATTTAATCTAAAATTATAGTTTAAAAATACATAATTTATATGTTATCATATAAACTAGTAATGCACTTTATATATCAGCACGATGCACTTTATAAAACGAAACATTGCACTGTATAAAACAAACCGTTGCACTTTATCACAAGACTCCACAATTAACGTCAATAGCTCCGCCAAAATACCACACAACATAATATATATACATATATACGTATTACTTTAACATCTATCATATCACCTGTCCACAAAAAACACAAGCATTATAACGTAACAAAATTACAGTAGTTCACTTTATATATTAATACAATGCACTTTATAAATCAGCACGTTGCACTTTATAATACATAATGTTGCACTTTATCACAACTATCAGGTTGCACAATAAAATGCAAAACCAACCGAACTCATTTTTTTTTTCAAATAGAAATAATATAAAAAAATAATAGATTAAATTATTAACATATTAAATATAATTTTAATATAAATAAAAAAAATATTTCAATTATTTGGGATATTCCAGTTAACCGAACCGAATAAACTAATTGATTATGTTCAGTTTCAATTCGATTTGGGACAAAAAATCAGTTGGTACAATATGAACAATACAGACCGACACCGTGCACCATAGTGTTGGACGAATTGCACCTTAACAACTGTTAGATTGCACATTATAATTCGTTTATCATCCAACCTCTAACAGATGTTTTGTCTGGTTCATTATATGTCAGTCCGATTAATGATTACTTACTTTCATAATTTCGGTTATTTCCTTATAATTGAAAATTAAATAACTGACTAAACCATATAAAAAATATTAATTTTTATTTTATATTTTTTACATGTATATTTTTGTAAGCAAACAAATAATATAATATATTTAATAAAAATATAAAATACTAAAAATATTTTTTTATAATACAAATACTAATTTATTTATGTTAATTGAGATAATTCGGTCAACAGACAAATTAAACCGAGATGCGTATACTTGCACAATATTACAGGATCGCCCGATTAACAACCCTAAGCGCGATTACATTTTAATAATTTTGTGAACTTTTAAACGTGTAGGCTATAACATTTATATAATCACGTAATAATATAACGAAAATTTTAATATGCTTATCACTTTTAATATCATCACGTAATAGTGTTTTCGTATTATTATAGTGAAAATATTGATGAATTATACACATGACATGTGCACCTAATTAAAAGTAGAAAATTACAAATTGGTCCTCCATATATGTATAATTTTCAAGAATAGAAACCCAAATCAATTTTCAATCTCTGCAAGCATAATTCAGCCCGTACCAGCCGTCTCTGCCTGCCACGCTGCCGCCGTCCTCAGATCCCGTGCAGAGACTCGCACGGCCAACTTCTCCACCATCTTCTCCTATCAAATAGAGGTCGTCTCCCTAACGGCTCGATTTAGCAACGTCTCCGACTTGAATTCACTCCTCTCGAAGCACAACGCCACCGAGTACACCGACGATGTTCCATCGTGAAACTCGTATCCACCCTCTGGCTCCGCGTACGGCGATCCTTTTTTTCCAAAACTGTGGCCTGGAGGATGACTATCTCGCGCGCATGTTGGTCCGGCGGTGGCCTGTGATGTCGAGGGATGACGCTGCGTCGACTGGCGGTCCGGCGATGGTCTGTGATGTCGAGGGATGACGTGGCAGTGCACTAGCGGTCCGACGATGGTTTATGGAGAGTGTTTCCGGCGATGGTCTGTGGAGGGTGTGTGTGGGTATGTGTGCATTACGTGTTTGTGTGTATGGGTGGGTGAAAAGATATTGATGAACTGAATGAGGTAAGTACAGTGAAAGTCATATCCATTGCTAACGAGTCCCTGTCTAGGGTTTTTCTCTTTCTAGAGACGAGTTTCTTTCTAGGATTTGGTTTTCTGAGTTCTGATTTTCCGCCCTTGTTTCTCTTCTTAGACCAGGTGTTTGTTTTCCATCTGCTTTTATCCCTTCGCTATTGTTGGTGTTGACCCTCGTCTGGATTTCCCTATGAGTCGTCCTGTATTTGAATTTCGTATGTTCATTTCCATTATCGATGGCAGGTAACACACACTTGTATCATGATGTGATTGTAGGGTTTAGACTGTTTGCTTTATGAAATTTGTGGTTGTCTGTGTAGAACAGGGTGGTATTGCAGTGTGATAGGGTGTTCTATGCTTTCTCCCGTTTGCTATTAGGGTTTTTTGGTTTTTCTTTTTGTTTTTCTGTTTCTGGGTTTGCTAGGTATGGATCAAGATATAACATCTAAGCTGCAAAAATTTAATTTATCTGGTAAGGAAGAAAGTGGGCTGAGTCTTTCAGAAGAAGTTGTTGCCATGGGCATTCAAGATTGCAACCTTAGTCTCATAGGTAAAATTTATGGGGAGAAAAAAGTGAATTTTAGTGGGCTCAAAACCACTCTAGGGAGCATTTGGGCTACTGTGAAGCCTTTTTCTACTAGGAATCTAGGAAACAACCTGTTTCAATTCCTGTTTCAATCAGAACAGGATAGAGACAGGATCCTAGATGGAAAAACCTGGAATTTTGATGGGCAATATCTTCTTCTGAAGCTTTGGAATTATGAGAACAATGACTTCAATGAGGAAGATGAAAAAATCAAAATCTGGGTTCATGTTCTGAACCTACCTCTTCATTGGCTGTCTGCTGATACTGGGATGAAACTGGGTAGACTGTTAGGGAAAACTCTAAATGTCCAAGTGCCAGGAATAGGAAACTATTCTGGCCATAATCTTAAAATTTTGGTTCAACTTCCTCTGTCTGAACCTATCTTGAGAGGCACTTTCATTAAAATAGGGGGGACTAATACTTGGGTAGATTTTAGATATGAAAACATTCAAAGCTTTTGCTTTTACTGTGGGGTGATAGGACACTCTGATAGAAGTTGTCCTAAGAAAAAAGATGATATCAACAATGATAATCTTCAGCTGGGGCAGTTTGGGGATTGGCTTAGAATTAGCAGCTCTTCCTCTAGTGGATTCAGAAACCACAGTGGATTCAATGTTGGCAGCCATGCCAGCACAGAAGCTACTGAGCCATCCTCTGAACAGCCTTTAGCTAAAAGTGTGGTGGGAGACAAAGGTAGCACTGGGAATCCCAATAGTTTAACCCCTATTAGCACTGCTGAAATAAGGAAAACTATTGTGGAAACTAGTAAATTAGATAAGGCTGTTGTTACTAGGGAGGTGAAGGATGTAGAGTCTTTGGTGCACAAAGACAACATACTCCAAAAGGATGCTGTGATGAATACTGATACTAACCTTATTGAAATCAATGTGCAAGCTTCTACAATTGGTAGAAGAATAGTTCACAGAAAGAAAATAGGTGCAGCCAAGGATGCTAATTCTAACAAGGAGGCTGCTACTGAACAAATTCACATTGATAAGGCTATAACTCCTAAGAAAAATGTGGGTAAGGGTAATAATAAAAGAACTATTGAGGACTTAACTCAGAAACCTGATAATGAGGATGGTGTTGTTCTTGTGTCCAAAAAACTGAAAATGGGGGATAAACCAATTACTGCTGTGGTGGAGGAAACCAACCATAACTGGTCCCAAGGTCTCCAATGAAGGATCTGGTGTGGAATTGTAGAGGGTTGGGGGGACCCTCTACAATTTCCCAGCTCAAGGATTGTTTAAAAATCCACCTCCCAGATTTTGTGTTCTTGTTTGAAACAAAAAAAAAAAGAAAAAATTTGTAGAGTCTGTCTGTAAAAAGCTTAAGATTAGTGATAATTGGCACTATGTCCTCCCTGTTGGGTTTAAAGGGGGGATGTTTTTATGTTGGTCTGATAGGATTTTTGTTCTAGACATACTAGTTTCTGATTTTGGGTTGGAAGTCAAATACTCCCTAGTTGGTACTTCTGATGTGTGTTGGGGAATTTTTGTGTATGCTAGCATTGATAGGGAGATTAGGAGTAGCCAGTGGGATGTGATTTTAAGGCATAGTCTTTATTGGGGTGAGTCTTGGTTTATCTGTGGTGATTTTAATGATATATTAGATCACTCTGAGAAATCAGGTGGCCACAGAAGGGAGGAGACTAGCTTTCTGGACTTTAAGAACCTAGTCTCTTGCCTGGGAGTCAGTGAAACTAAAACCATAGGCCACCCCTTTACTTGGTCTAATAACAGAAAAGGGGATCAAGCCATAGAGGAGAAACTAGATAGATTTTTGTTTTCTCAAAATTGGCTTGATCAATTCCCCAATGCCTTGGTTAAAATCATTCATATGTCTGCTTCTGATCATTCTGTTATTCTGCTTGAGAGTAACCCAGGGTGTGAGGGGATTAAAAACAAATTTGTTTTTGAGGCTAGGTGGTTTAATCATGAAGGCTTCAAAGATCTTATCTCTGAAGCCTGGAATATCTCTGTATCTGGCCATGCCCTGTACAGTATTCAGCAGAGACTGAAGAATGTCAGGACTGCTATCACTCATTGGAAAAAGAGGAATGTGGGTAATGCTAGGTTGAAAATTGAAGAGTGTAAGGAGAGATTAGCAAACTTGAGAGCCTTAGATGGGGAGAGGGATTGGGGTGAATGGAATAGATGTAAAATTGAATCCCAACTGGCTTATAAAAGTGAAGAGCAGTTCTGGAAACAGAAGTCTAGGATTCTTTGGCTTAGGGATGGGGATAAAAATTCCAAATTTTTTCATGTTTGTATTAACCAAAGGAGGAAAATTAATTCTCTGGATAATATTGTCAAAGCTGATGGGTCTAGATGTCAAGACCAAGGAGAGTTGCTCAGTGAAATTATGCAGTACTTTGAAAGACTCTTCCAATCTTCCAATCCTCTTGATAATAACTGCAGCTTAGATGGCATACCTAGATCCATTACTTGTGACATGAATTCCCAACTTATTTGTTCTGTTACTGATGAAGAGATTGAGAGTGCTATGTTTCAAATGGACCAGGACAAAGCCCCTGGGGCTGATGGATTTACTGCTTGTTTCTTTCAAAAGTCATGGTCTATTGTAAAATATCATGTGTGTTTGGCAGTGCATAATTTCTTTGATTCTGGTAAATTGCCTAAAGGTCTTAATCATGATGTAATTACCCTTATCCCTAAGAAAAAGAACCCCTCCAAGGTTATTGATTTTAGGCCTATAAGTCTTTGTAGTGTGATCTATAAGCTGATTGCTAAAATAGTGTCTAATAGGCTTAAAACTGTTTTGCCTCATTGCATTTCTAGTGCTCAGTCAGCCTTTGTACCTGGTAGGCAAATCCTAGATAATGTTATAATAGCCAATGAATGTGTCCATTACTTAAACAGCAAAAGAAAAGGCAATCAGAATTTCATGGCCATTAAACTTGACATGGCTAAGGCCTATGATAGAGTGGAATGGTCCTTTCTTGTTAAAGTCTGTAGGAAAATGGGATTCTGTGAAACTTTCATATCTTGGATACTTGCTTGTGTGTGTACTGCCTCATATTCTTTCAACTTAAGTGGTTCTGTGCTTGGCTTTCTTCAACCTACCAGAGGTCTGAGGCAGGGAGATCCTTTATCTCCCTACCTTTTCATTATTGTCTCAGAAGCCCTTTCAAATCTCATTAACCAAGCCAACAACTTTGGTCTTTTTCAGGGCTTAAAAATAGGTAGACATGCTCCTCCAGTAAGTCATCTATTCTTTGCTGATGATTCTTTATTGTTCTGTAAAGCTGATGCTGATCATGCCTATCTTATTTGTGACATTCTTTTTCAGTATGGTATTGAGTCTTGTCAAGCTGTGAATTTTGACAAATCTTCAATCTTGTTTTCTAAAAACACCTCTGTTGGAACTCAGGACCATATCTGTGGAATTCTTTCTGGTATTAAGAGTGTCAAATCCTCTAGATATCTAGGTCTTCCATTAGGCATTGGTAGGTCTAAAAGAGATACTTTCCAGTTTGTGAGTGAGTGTGTGAGAAACAAATTTTGAGCTGGAAAAACAAATTTCTGAGTGATTCAGGGAGAGACATTATGATAAAATCTGTGTTGAGTGCCCTCCCTACATAGGTCATGTCTTGTTTTAGAATTCTAGTAGCTATTCTCAATCAAATTTGTAGGGATATGGCTAATTTTTGGTGGGGTAAGAATGAGCAGGGGGGTAACAGGATCCATTGGGTAGAATGGGATAAGATAGCTAGGCCCAAGGAGGATGGGGGATTAGGATATAGAGATTTCAGAGCTTTTAATGAGTCTTTGCTTGTTAAGCAGTTGTGGAGGATTCAATCTTTTTCTAATCTTTTAGTCAGCAGAGTGCTTAAAGGGAGATATTATTGGGATAGGAGTCTGCTTGAGGTCCAAGCCAAGAATGGGGATTCTTGGCTTTGGAAGAGTTGGTTAGGGGCTAGGAAGACTTTTAGGTTGGGGGCTAGGTTTGAGGTAGGTATTGGTAGGTCTATCAAAGTCTGGGATTCTCCTTGGATCCCTAATAATTCTGATTTCAAGCCTAAATGCTGTTTCTGGGGTGATAAAGTTAGGGTGTAGAAAGTGAGTGATTTGATTAGACAGAGGGGTAGAGAGTGGGACCGGGATTTAATTCTCCAAACCTTTGATCCTTCTGATGCAGCTCTGATTTTATAAATCCCTTTGTCTAGTCATAGACAGAAAGATAAAATTATCTGGCATTGGGATCCTAAAGGTAATTTCACTACCAAGACAGTGTACCAGTATATTTTGCAAAATAAAGGCAGGGATCAGAATTTAGCTTCTCCTAGTGGCTCTCCAATTTGGTGGAAGAAAGTTTGGCATAATACTTGGCATCTTCCTATTAAGCCTAAAATCAAATTATTTTTATGGAAATGCTGGTATGGGTTTATTGGGGTGGCTGGCAAGTTGGCTGGGAGAGGGATGGATATTGATAACATTTGTAGGGTGTGTGGTGAGGATGTTGAAGACTTAAATCATTTACTGTTCAATTGTCCTAAATCTAAAATCTGTTGGAAGTTGAGTGGGGTAGAATGGAGTATTTTGAATGAGGACTCCATCACATTTCAGCAATGGTGGATAAAGCTGTGCTCTAAAAGATTATCATGGTCTGTGAAAGAGAGGCTGGTCTTCTCTGTTCATCTTATCTTGAATCTGTGGAAAGCCAGAAATAAATGGGTTTTTAAGGGGGATCGGTTTTATGAGCAGGACATAGTGAGGAGAGCTCATTCTGAGTGGGTGGAGTGGAATTCTAATAGGCAGTTGAAGGAGATCGATTCTAACTCAGTTGGGGATTCTGGGAGAGTAGGGTTGCCATGGTTGACAATCAGTGCTCACTTAACTGAGGAGGGGTTGATTGAAGTGATGTGCTCTGGTAAAGATGGGGACAACAAGAAGTTGCAATTGGATGGTGTTATAGCAAGTGCAGATGGGGAGATGGATGACACTGAAGTAGCTCTTCATGCTGCTAAGTGGAGCCTGGGACAATACAAAGAGATAAAAGGACAACCATGTACCTGCTATTTCAATGATGCCAAAGCTGTGAAGTTGCTGTCTAATTCTGTACCTTATTGTTGCTCTTATTTTGACCTGGTTGAGGAGGTTAAGACTTTATTTTTGGATGGTAATATTGTGAACTGTTTGTTTTTTTAGCTGTAGTAGTTGGACCATTTTGGTCTTTGAGGGGAAGGCCCTGCCTTCCTCGTTGTTGTAATCTGTTGATTGCTCGATTGTATCAGAACTTCGTATTTGAGTAATATAATTTGTTTGTTTGCCTTGGAAAAAAAAAATTGAATGAGGTAAGTGGGAGGGACGATGGGTAGGTTGGGGGACCCACATGCTAGTGGGTTGGTAACAAATGTCTAATTTACCCTTAATATGTGGTCAAATGTCTATTTGACCATTAATTATACACATATTTATAAAATTGCCACATCATGTTTGACTCCCTTGCGTAATATTTGACTAAATCATGACCATTGATATATTGGATCCAATGTTCCACAATCATTCTTATTTCTTTCACTATCAATCATTCTCATGTGATCCTCTCTATCTCTCTCTCTCTCTCTCTCTCTATATATATATATATATATATATATATATATAGGGTTGGGTTCACATGAGAATGGTTCTTCAGGAAATAAATGAGAATAAATCGTAGCCATTAGATTATCCAATCTAATGACTATAAAAAAAGCAAAAAATATATCGTCATTAAGGGCATTTCAGACATTTTTCATACATTTATTAGTGGAACCCAATAGACCGAGCAACGAATTAATCTCACACCCCTGTCCAACTCAGCCCACTTGTCACACTTTTTTCTCTCTCTCTCTCTCTCTCTCTCTCTCATGGAACAAT